CCCCCCCCCCCCCGAGCATCACAGAGGGGAAATAAGGTGAGACTGACCCCTTCTTCTGTTTATCAAGGTGACTTTTCCAATTTATTTAATTCCGAGTAGAAATGTCTGGGAAAATTCATGTCTTCGATATGCTTTATAATCTTTGGAACTCTGCTAGATTTCACCCCCAAAATGCTTGAAATCGCATTTCAGGGACTCTAGATTTCAAAATTTTTCCGGGAATGTATGCCCCAGAACCCCCCGAGACAGTCTACGACCGCATGATTTGTCCATTATTTGTATACTATTTGCTTTGCGCGCCATTCACGTATTTGTTAGCCTGACTGAAACAGACGACCTTTCACTCACTCCCCCAGTGAGTGAGTATGAGGTCGTCTGTTTTATCAGGCTACGTATTTGTCCTTGACTGGTATGGGGTAAAGAAGGGAAGACTCCAATCGAAAATGGTCGACTTCTCAGATATTGCGCTTTTATTTTGTATTAAGATACCTTTCCTATTCTAATTTGCTTGTTAGGAACTAATTTGCTTGGGGAACTTAAACTGCCGTGCGTTTATGTGGACAAGCGGGGGCTGGCCCGGTTACTAGGATGAAAGTTTAATTTAAGATACCACCGCGAGCTATTTTTAACAACTTTAAAAACAACAAATTTTTCCAGTGGGCAAGAAAATTCATCCCTCTTACCGGGCTGTCTCGCTAATCGGGTAGCCTGGATTCCATATAAACAGCCGCTTAATAGGAGGGAAGCAATGGTATTTTCGTGACTCGTGATTAGCAATTATTCGGGCTTCGTGATTTGAAAAAATACCATTCCGTGAATCGTGATTAATATGCGTGCCGTGAATCGTGAATAGCTAAAAGGCTGGGTCTTGAATTTACCAGTAGTTTAGCCTAACTTGTGAATGTTTACGTTTAAAACTCGGACCAAATTTAATACTAAGGTTAAAAAAATAATTAAATTTGCTTCCCGCGGTTCGTCGTTGTCGTATACCTTCGTATCTCTTCGTAGACTTCGTGGACCATCGTAAGACGATCGTAATATTTCGTAATGTAGTCCTTTAAAAGCTCTAATGTTAAAGTCAGTAAAATGT